TCGTCTGTGTAGTCTACTATAATTTGTGGCTTGAACCTGTATCCTGATCGGCTTTCAACATTCACCATTTCTGACGAATGCTTTGTCGATAGAATTAGGATATCCTTCTTATCTCTCCAATTCAAAATGGTCATTCCTTGTTTATTTTCTTTTGTTACGATTTCTCCACGTTTTAATTTTGTTGATATCACTTGCTGCAAATTTTCTCATCGATTTGAGCGTAATGTTCTCACTAAATGGGTGTTTTTATTGATTAATTTTTCCGCTAATTCTAAGCTCGTGAACCAGTTGTCAGTGAAAAGCGTGTGTTCCTTATCGAATAAATCTTTGCAAAGAGACATTACAATTTTAGTGGGCGTAGTGTTTTCTTTTTCTAAAGTTTTCCGTGTGTATAAACGAAGAGCATACGTATATCCCGATCCACAGCAAAACGTAAATATTTTAATAACATATTTGTGGAGCTTTTGTTTTAAATATTGCCTAAATATAATGCAGCCACGAAAGGGAATCAAGGATTCGTCAATAGATATGTCCTCGGTTGGATTGTATTATTTGCGAAAATTGATTTCCAGAGTATTTATATTTGGTTGTATTTTGAATAAACGATTGGAACCATTACTGTTTTTGTTATCTACAAAATGTAGCATTCTTAGTAACAGTTCAAATCTGTTCCTTGACATGATCTTTTTCGGGAACTTTTGCATATACGCAGGACCACTGGACCAATATTGGTATATAGCTGGTAATTTCACTAATCCCATCCATAGAATCAGTCCAAAAAATCTTTTTATTTCAGATTTATTTGTCTCTGTCCACTTTGCCAAGCTCTGCGTGCACCCACCTTCTAATTTCTGTGATGCATGTAAGTTTGTTTGTTCGTGGATTTCCTTGATCAATTCATCCAGCACAAATAATTGATAGCTGGTTTAAACGGCTATATTTGATCCTATATGCATATCTTCACTTACAAACACAGAAGGATGTGTAAATGGCACAATCTTTGGCTGATTACCCCTAGAGTCATGCGATTCTCCAACAATCTCCTCCTCTCCTTCAGATGATAAAAATACATCCACTCTAGGTCGTTTTTTAGCAAAAATAATTTGTCTGCTGCTATCGCTTTCACACTCTCGGACTGACATTTTCACGCTCAGGGCTAAAAAAAATTTTTGTCTGCACTGGGCCAAGAACTGCAACGAACTACTTTGTCGTAAAAGGAACACCGGCGACGAATTCATTTCGATAAAATCTTATCGATCGGGCCGAACGGTAAAGAAAACAAAACAGACTTGGGGCGTAACGTTTTGAATGAATGCCTGTAGGCATTTCATTTTAAACATAATTATCTTCTACTGCGATAAGAAAAACATTGGCCTTACAATACCAACGCTTCTAAGTGGAGCGCGTGGCCTGGCGGGGACTTCCTTAAAAATCGGCGTGGCCCTCAACGTGTTAAATTGTGACTGGGTTGTTCGTAACCCAGCGGCCAATTGGAAGCCAGAACGCTCCTGTGGTTGCAGCCAATCAGCGGCCAGTATCTGGCGGCTCGACAGCCAATTAGCGTTGACCACGGGCGGCCAACGCCTCGAGTGGCATCCAAGCCGGCTGCTTGTCAAATATAATTTCCTTAAAACCAGATAAATCTACTTCTAGTTCGTCGATCATGGAGATTTAGTGCTCAAAATGCGCGTACTGTAAAACTACACTAGCGCAAATGAAGGCAAGTTCTTCCGCTTCTTCGCGTCGGAAAAAATTCTGCTTAAAGCTTTTCGAGTGCGGCACCGGTGAGCGGCTGCGACGCCCAAATACTGTTCTTTGATTTTCTCTACTGAAAGTTACTCCAGTGACACGGGACTCCGGCCACTGGTAGATTTTCACTTCACAATCACTCTGATACGACTTTTATAACAAAGTTCTCGGATTTTACCGCTTAAAATCAACTCGGAACACGGAGTGACGTGGACATGACTGCACTGCTCAAAGCTAACATGGCGACCTGACTCCGAAGATTAATAATATTTCCATACACAGTGGGACAAAAAGATAGCACACTTTAAAATTAACGTAATTTTTATTTATTTAACATTACAAATAAAGCATTGTTTTCACGCATTTTTTCAAAATACCTCAGAATAAACGTTCACAAATGAAATCGAATTGAATTTCTTCTGTCTATACAATTTTATTGGAGAAAAAGGAATTTTTAGGGAAACATAGTGGGACAAAATGATAGCACATTTAACTGAAGAAAATGTTGCTCCTCCTTTACATTTAATAACAGCCACAAATCTCTTTGGCAAGAACTTAAAGAGCTTTTTAATAGTTTTTTGCTCTAATTACTCCCATTAATCTTGAATAAATTTTTTTATTTCTACAGTGTTTCCATATTGTCTGTCATTTGCATACACAGCTGGGGCAAGATTTCCCCAATAATTTTCAATAATGTTACGCTCGGATGACCTTGCTGGCTAATCCAGAACGTAATCCAGAACGCGAATTTTTTCTTGGAAAAATACTGCTTTACTACTTTCGCAGTGTGGATTGCGGCATTATCCTGCTGAAAAATATACTTTTCTCCAGCAATTTTTGTGGCGAACGTATTTATTTGTTCTTCGATCATTTCCAAGTACATCTTGCTATTCATTTTTCCCGTTAAAAATTTGATTTCCATTATACAATAGTACCCGATACCGCACTAAATCACACTACCACCTCCCATTTGCCGACGACTCAAAAACTGTTCCTCCTTACGCATATCGTGAAAATAGTAATTCAAACCATCAGGTCCATCTAAGTTAAACCTCTTTTTATCCGTAAATATTACTCTTCGCCATTTCTTCCTCATATGAATATGCTTTTCCGCAAACTGTAATCGACGGATCCTATGTTGCGCAGTTAACCAAGGCTTCTTCATCGATTTCCTTCGTGTTACGTGTTTGCATTTTTGTAAATCATGTCTCACATTCTTTACATTAGTGTTTACACCGACACTTTGAGCAATTTCTCTTGCAGTCAACTTAGAATTTGATGCTGCTCTTAGTATTGCACGTTGTTCCCGTGCAGTTAGACTTTTCGGACGCCCGGAACTCTTCTTTTTACCATAGGCTTCCGGATTTTTCAACAAATTTGTTATTACCTTTCGACTTCTATTCATAATTTTTGCTATTTTTGTCACTGAATTTTGTTCTTCTTTCAATTTTAAAATAACACCACATTCACACGCGCTGAATGTCTTTCCGCGACCCATTGTTGATAATTCCTGTCTTTTTACCAGATATACAACGTAAGATAATATCACAGACTTTGTTAAATATGTTCCGAGGTTGATGTTCACAATTTGGGAAGTGTAGATATACTAAATGTACTATCATTTTGTCCCGCTTTCGAACAAAAATATTTACATTTTTTGTAATGGAATCCCGTCGCAGTATATGTTGTGGACGATAGTTCGTACATTGGATATATAGACATGCTCTGAGTTGTCGGTAAAAGAAGCAATGTATTTTATTCCGTTTTTAACATAAAATAAGGGAAAATATAAGGCGTGCTATCTTTTTGTCCTGGAGTGTATCATGTGCCAAATGCATAAAAATTAGGTTTCACACGCTTATTCAACCTGCAGCTCTGTCTGCAGGTGTATCTTCGGGTTTACCGAAACGTATGTAGTATAAGAGATAGGGTACGGTATAAGAGATGATATTGTAAGATATTTATGTAATCACGAACATTGGTAAATATGTAGTTTAGCGGCTTTGCCCTAAACATGTCTTTTTTCTGGTTTTTCCATAGAGCGCTTTATTTGTGCCGCAATAAGAACTATAGATCGGAGGAGCTTGAAAAAGTAATGTGCTTTTGCTAGTTTTTTGACAAAAAGTATAAAATTGTTAAAAACTAGAGAATGCGTGGGTCGATCCGTATGATTGTTGAACATGTTATAGAGGACGAGATTCTGAACACCTGTTATCTGAACAATAATGGCCGCTTGGCCTTAATTTTCGAGATATTTGCGAAAATTGTTCACACAACCGTATTGGCTCCATCTGTACGTGTGCCTTAGACGTGTTGGATTGGTTACAAAGGATCCCTTCTCGTTTCCTTCTATAAACAAACCCTGGCAAGCGATAGAAACAGGACTGGCAGCCGATCGTATATAACGGGTGGACAAAAAGATTAAATTTAATTAATTTCAATAATATGTCAGTCTAGATTTTTTTCACATGTTAACTAAGGTGGTGTGGTGTCGCACTCGTTTCGTGTCACAAGCGGTCCTCCGCTCGACTACGACAACACAGTCTAACCTAACTCTAATCCATTACTTAATTTACTGATTAATAATAAGATAGGTTTGGCTTAATCAAGTAATTGGGGTAGGTTTGGGTTAGACTTATATCCCGGCTGCCATCAGATCATATAAGCAGAAATCCAAAAATCGAATCTTTATTAAGTGTTTATCAAGGATTAAATCGGGTGATGGCTGGGGTGATGTAAGGGTCCGCGAGTTTGAGAATGAGTGTAAGGAATGAACATAGCTTCCTAAGCGTCAAGCAACATACCGATCACCCGTTATATACGCTCGCCGGAGTTTGTTTATAGAAAGAAACGATAAGCGATCCTTTGAAACCAATTCACGGCACACGTATAGTCGGAGTCAATGCTGTAGTGTGAAAAATTTTTGCAAATATCTCGGAAATTAAGGCCAAGCGAAAATTTATTGTTCAGAGAAAAGTTATTCAGAATCTCGTCCTCTATAACATGTTCAAAAATCATATGGGTCGACCCACGCATCCTGTAGTTTTTAACAGTTTTATGTTCTTTTGTCAAGATACTAGTAAAACCACATTACTTTTTCTAGTTTCCCTGATCTATATTTCTTATCGAGGCACAAATAAAGCCTTTTGTGAAAAAAACGGAAGAAAGAAGACGCGTTTGGGGTAAAGCTGCTAAACTGCATATTTACCCGAACTTTATTCATTCACGAGAAAAAATAATTTTGTATTTAGGTGCAGGAGTAGTTTCTATGGCTAACTCGGGACCAAACACTAATGGGTCGCAGTTTTTTATTACATTGGCACCTACACAATGGCTTGATGGAAAACACACCATTTTTGGTGAGTCAAATTTTCATACTTGAAGCATATTATTATTATATGCAGCGTTGCGCGGTTAAATTGTATTGCAACCATTCGTGCTGAAATAACAAGAATTATGGAAAATAACATTTCTCTGATACCGAAACGAGGAAAATTAAAATGAACAATTACTCGGATAAATTATGTTCTTTCGCAAAACGATAACGACAGAGGCAGTCAGTGAACGATTGCACGAACTGTTGTCGACTTGTCGTTGCTTAAATTCACAAAATTCATAAAAATTCAGTCGCATTGTTTACATCGATGTAATCATGCGATTCCTTTTCGATCTTTTTCTTATACTTTGTGTCCTCTAAAACTATCACTGTTGATAAATAAACGACCGCGGTTGGACAGGACGGATCCCAAATGATGTACCGAAATATTACGTTCACAGAGTATTATTTTTACGGAGAGGATCGAGACTTGACGTTCGAAAATAAATGAAAATATTATGTGTTAATTAAAATCATAGATACTTTAGAATTGATTTATAAAGCATAAATCGGATAATGTAGGATAAAAGAAACATTTTTTTATATAACATACACACTGTTAAATAATACAAATTTAATACAAATTTACAAATTCGAGTTTCAAAACTTGTTGATAAAAATATTCGAATAACGTTTTGAATCTGAAATTGCATTTAACCGGATATAAAGACTGCATTACTTTGTATTGATATTAAAATTTTAATATATATGTACACCCATAATATATTTATAAATATAATAGGAAGTCCGACTACATTGTTCTCAACATTTGCAGAATAACTCAAAAATTAATATTTTATAATATTAATTACTAAACTTTACTTCAAATATTACATCTAATTTCCTTTGTATTATAATTTAATGCAAAAATCAGTCACTGCTAAAAATTTAAATAAGAATACATTATATTTTAAATAATATTCTTACATATGAATATTTATATTTTCTATGTTGAACAATATAACATTCACAACTGCGAACAAACAGCCAATAAACAATGTTCACAATTCTCGTTTGTAGCCTCCTATTTTCTCAAATTAATAGTCTTACAACTTTTTACTATAAATTAAAATGAAGTTAGATATATATTAATTAGACAAAAGATGATTCCTTTATTACCCAGTATCATCTTTTGCACATTCATACCGTACACATTTTTAGATGATCTATTCACCTAAGTAGCTTCCATACCAAGTATTTTGAACAATAATGCTTACTTCAAAAACTATAAAAAGCAGAATTCAGTTTTCATTTAAAAATTCATGTTACCAAATTTTAATTAACTTCCACTTTGGCTTCGTCAAATTATTAACATGAAATGAACATTATCAACACAATTCATCATTACTAAATCCATATAAATTAATTTTGATTAATTTGAGAATACAGGTATAACCCTCCTATAACACGGTAGATAGGTTCCCAGAAAATGCCTTGTTGTGTGAAACCGTGTTGTATGAGACCCACAGCCAGTACAAAAAGGGGAGTTACGTTCCGAAAATTTATTAAAAACAATTTTTTTTTTAATTCTACATAAACAACTTACATTTATTGAAGATATAAATGTATGTACAGTACAAAACAAAAAGAAACAAAAATATTATTTTAATTTAAGTTCTGGCACGCGCAACCGTGAGTTTCTTTGCACCGCAAGTGATTAAGTCTACTCTTTATATTTTGTTTCATCCAATTCGCTATTTATTCGATAAGGAGGATTACTACGTCGAAAGAAAAACATTCTCACACCATTACGTTATCTCATCCGTATTTTATAGAACCTACTGTAGGGGATCAAAGCGGAGGTAGTTTAATGAAGTACTTGAAGCTAAGTCGCTACTAACAAATCTGTGACAAGACTTTATTCTGCGACTTGCTGACTAACGAACTCTTCACTCTCGACTTTTGACTATGCGACTGATTCGATCACTCGACGACTAGTTTTAACACTTTGCACTCGACGATTCTTGGCTGAAGAAGAATAGGAGTTTAAAGATTTTCTTTTACAAAGCTGACGATATTTTTCCGAGCACTAAATAAGAAATCGTATAATAATTAACACGTAGAATTATTTAATTTCGATACTTCCCACACTGTTAAATTATTTTAAATTTGATATATTAATGAATATCGAGCTTCGAAATTTTATCAAATGGTGACTGAAGGGCATCTCTCGAATGCAAAGGGTTAATTTTAACTGACAATTCGAGAAGTCGGTAACTATATTTGTAACTGACTTCCAGAACAGTCCCTTTTAATACGTTCATGCCGGCATGTACCACCGGTGGCGCTCACACTCGGATCCCTCATCGGACGGTGTGTACAAACCGGTGGCTCACGCTCTTGTCACGGGACAATACGAGGTTTTATATAAAAATAAAGAACTCAGAATCGAAGATGGAAGATCCCTAGGGACTGACGTAGCACTCAACGTGTTAACACTATACTTCTGTTTTAAATCTTCCGATCGTCTTTTCCCGACATTCTTTAAGCAGATGCTTGTTCCGTTAGTCTCAAATATTAGTGCCTTTTTAAATAATAAGAATAGCGTAGGTATGACCATCAGCAATTAGTAGAACCCGCCGGAAATTCACCGGCGTCGAGAAGTGAGCGGCCCGTCTAGAAGCCAAGCGTCTCCCCCAAAGGAGATGGAACTCCTCTTCCACGCCCAGGGTCAGGGGTGGAGGAGACTCCTCCCTCCGAGTTAGCCCCCATGAAGGGTCACCCTCGCGGGGACCCTTCCGGAGAGGTAACCGTGGCCGCCGCGTCACTCGCGGTTTACGACAGGAGAAAGTCGGGATTTCGCGAAGCTACATCACGTGGCCTGGCCCCACCGACTTCGTACGGCCCATCCGGTAGTCAGATCCTAAGTGCTTCGAGTTTAATAATCCAAATTAGGCTTTTGAATGATGCCTCGTCTGTGAATTTTAACTAGAATGCATAATGTAGGATAATTTTTGGAAATAGATATAAAGAGCAGAAAGACCAATCACGGTCTTTCAATAGCCAAATCCTAAATGCCGAGCAGTACATGCCTCGAGGTATATTTGCTCATTTGTTGTAGTCGAATTTCTATGTTGCCCCGGGTTACCAGTCACGATGTGTCGTTGAAAAGCCTATTTAGACTATTAAGCTTCGGCACCAGGAAGGTCGGGGCCAGGTCATGTGAGGTGGTCTCGCGCAACTCAGCCTTTCCCCAGCGTAAACCGGGACCGGACTCTTCGTAAAGACTAACTCGGTTGGAGGAGTTTGCCCCGCCCTTGATCTTGGCTGAGGAAGTTTCTCCTCCTTCGGGGAGGCGCTTGTCTTCCGAACGGGCTTTAAAAGGGCCCGTCCTGGAAGACGAGGGTTAGTTGATATTCAGTTAGTTGGTTGTGCGAATTAGTTAGTTGATCGTCGGTCAGTTGATTATCAGTGAGTTGTCAAGTTAGTTGAGATTAGTGAGTGGTTAGAAGTGCGAGTTCGTTGGTTGAGAGGTAAATGTTAGTCAGTTGTCAGACGTAGTTGCCTAGTGAAGACTTATCGGAGGTTTGCTAGCAGTGACTTCGTCTTTCGCACTTCACCATCACCTTTCACCTTCATCCCACATAACGTCGGAATTCTTATAATATTTCGGGGACTCGTCCAGGGTTTCTACATATTTCGGGAGCTCGTCCAGGATTTCTACAATAATAAACAAGTAAACACCGGCTCACGAGTTGCTCAGCATTTATAAATTGTCTACTAAAAGACCGTAACGAGTCTTTTAGTGCTTAATTCTAAGTCTACGTCCTAAAAATATCTTACACTCGGCCATCCTTGTCAGAATCTGACCTTAGACGCTGCTGTCCCGGGTAGTCTTTTCATCCGTCAGCCGCTTATTGTAACGTGGCCAGATCGGTGAAACTATACGTACGGGAGCGTGTGGCGACCATGGTTATGAGATTTGAAGATGGAGGACGAGAGGCTTTTAGTGAAAAGA